TAAAAGTTCTACCCGATACTTATATACTTATGGAGCTTTTGGCGCTATGCAATGTCAGCTTCCGGCGCCGTATAAGCTCGGAGTATACCAAATTCAGACATAGCAACGTAGAGGCAACTTCGTTTTGTGCTTTTTAAAACTGCTTGTTAAATAGACGAAATGCTGGTGTGTATCGAAAATCTAACACATGATATATCTATTGAATATTGGATCTACCAGGTCTGAAACTGATATGGCCTTCTCATTATATGATACAAAAATTAAAAAGACTTATTCGCCAATCCAACTAAGCACTCATCCGACCACACTTTTTGAGGAAGTTAATGCGTGCCGAAAAGCTGTCAAGCCACCAGTTGGGTCGGAAATATGTCCTCTTCGCTATCACAATAACAGGTCTTCCATGCGGCTTAAGGAATTTTTTATGCTCCAGTTGGCATAGTCTATCAGCCTCAGACTATTTTGGCTTTTTTCAGACTTTAAGCCAAAATTTCTAAAATTTCATTTTTACTACGAAACAGAATATTCACGGTTACAGGTAGAGAGAGGGGGAGAGAGAGAGAGAGAGAGTTGCAACAGTATTTAGGCCAAATGCCTAAACTTCAAAACAAGAACTGCACTCAAACACAGTGTCTTCGGAGTGTCTGCTGATTTTTACAGAATTAATTATGCACAGTGCTTGAGAAAAAAAGAATACAAAAAACCCAAATGTATAAATATTAATATACATCAATCCTGCGCGCACAGCAGGAAGCAGCACAGCTGACAGATAGACGAAGCAACTAAGCAAGCAGTCGCACGCAGACGGACCGCTTGCTATTCTCCCACGAAAATAAAAGTGTTGGCAGCACCTTGACGCGCAATTATTGTTGCAAGCGCCGAAAGTTGGGCACAAAGGCCGGACTGCCAACGTCATAAATGTGCGCATAATAAATTCAAATGAACTCCACGAAATATTATATATGGACTGCAATGCCTACATATACGAGTATTGTCTGTGCGAGTTTAATAAAAAATTGCAAAAATCAAAAACGAACAAAAAGAATGACGAAAATTTCATTGGAAACTATTTAACTAAACCAAAAAACCAAAAATGAAATGTGTTTGTGGCGGGCAGTTTCAAGAAGTCGTTTCTCTCTCCAAAAAAAAACCGTCTTTTCATTCTTTGCATATTCATCAAATGTGTGGACACATTCGAGCTTCGTACAGAATTTCGAAACAAAAAAAATTACAAGAAAACGAAAAAAATTGATGCATAAAAATAATGACGTTTTCGCTGGCAAAAGCACATAAATCAAAAAATTTCATTGAGAAAAATTCAAGATTCCACGCAGTGGCGCACACATTAAATGCAAAGAAGGTAACCAAAAACAAAAACCACAAAAAAAAAATGTTAAAAAAAATACCAAGCGAAGCGAAACAATAAAAAGTAAATAAAAATTTCAAAATACACCAATAACAAAAACCACACATTCCACTTTCCGCGGTGCCACTAAAATTTTGATATATGAAATTTGTGCACATAAATATGGATTTGGTAGAATCTTTGGCGCACTGTCGTTAACCAACAAATCGGTACATAAAAATAAAATCCAAACGGCAAACATCGTAGGCTAATAAAAGATGGAAGAAGCAGAGGAAATAACAAGACCGTGGAAGAGAGCGATATAAACAGTGCAAATCCGACGTTAAAGACCACGTTGAACTACATAACACATAAAATGAGCCAACAATAAGAATTTCGGTTGCGGCAGCAAACGAACACAGAAACTAAGCCGACATGATCGCTAATTTAGCAGTAAAAAATAAAAACGCAAAAATCTGAATGTTTATACGCTGGGTCGAAAAGTGTTTGGAGTTGTTTGAATTTTGGGTTTTAATAGAAACAAAAATATTTTGCAACTCGAACTTTAGATTCCCTTGTCCAATTCTCTACTCATGACATGCAATCTCCAGTACATAAACAGACCTCGGTTCGTAATTGTGGCTTCAAAGAAATACTTTCCACATGTCATTTGCTGCCTTAAAAAGAAGAAGAGTTTCAATGCTTGAACAAACTGGTAGAAAAGGCTTACAAAATTTGTCTATATTTTTTTGTTTACCTACCAAAACTGATAGGTATGATTTGACAGATCTCCCTGGATCCACCCTGGACTGTATTGGCATTTGTGCAACGGTTGTTGAACTGACTTCTAGTCTGAGGAATCGTAGTTAATCAGAGGAGGTTTGTGGTTCGAAGTTCGTCCGCCGAATAGCTCCTGAACTTTTATGCTTAATAGCTGACAAGGGTAGCGAAAGTAGCATAGTCGTGAGAAGTACCACGAAGCAAGCATAAAATGGTGCTCGTAACCTCACTGAGCAAGTACATAAGTACCAATTATACTACATGCCCACTGTTCTTAATACGAGCAAGCTGTGTTGCTGACCAATTGCAAGAAGATCCCCAACGTTGCCTTCGTACTATTCCAGCTTTCACCGAGTTCTTCCCATCAGTTATCAGCTACTCTGCTGTGATGCGGCATTCATCAACAATCTGATCCTGCCAACTAGCTTCGATCAATTCGTGAAGTACTCAACTGCCCATCCTTAAATCTACTAAATCTACTAAACATGCGAAATGTCATATGAATAAAAAATAGAACAATCTTTTCATTACAAAAAAATTAATAAAAATAATATAAAATAAATGAAAAATTAAGTTAGAAAAAATAAACCAAAATAAAACTAAATAAAATTTAATGAAATTTAAATAAAATTAATACGAAATAAAATAAAAATTTTAAAATAAATAAAAATAAAATAAAATAAGTAAAATAAAATAAAGGAAAATTAATAATATAAAGTAAAATAAAATTAAATAAATTAAAATTAAATCAAATTATATCAAATTAAAAAAAAATTAATAAAATTAAATTAAAAAATTAAAATAACAAAATAAAAACATTAATGTTACTAAAAATAAAATTAAAAGTAATAAATTAACTCAAAATAAAATGAAATTAAATTAATTGAGAAGAAATGAAATAAAATTAAATCAAATTAAATTAAATAAAGTAAAAAAATAAATAAATTACACAAAATCAAATAAAATGAAATAAAATTAATGAAATTAATTTAAAGTAAAACAAATAAACATTATTTAAAAAATGAAAATAAAACAAAATAAAAATTGTAAAGTAAACAAAATAATATAAAACAATATCAAATAAATAATATAAAATAAAGTTAAATAATATAAAGTAAAATAAAATATAAAAAATATAACATTAAACTAATTTAAATAATATTAAATAAAATTAAATTAAATTAAAAACTACAAAAACTAAAATAACAAAATAAAAATAATAAGACAATTAAAAATAAAATTAAAATTAATAAAATAACACAAAATAAAATAAAATAAAATAATATAAATTAAAATAAAATAAAATAAAATAAAATAAAATAAAATAAATTAAAATAAATTGAAGAAATGAAATAAAATAAAGTAGATAANTCTATACACTGTTCCATATACTATATAAGAAGAAGAAGAAGAAAAATCTGCGCCGCTTAGTCAGAAAAAATACACTTATAGACCCTTAACACGTTGGAATTGCGCGTCAAATTTTTATATCCGTCGGTATGTACAAAATAGTTAACGAAAAATACGCAAAGTAAATCCTTGGTGCACACAAACCAAGTTCACTGCTGGTCGGTAGGTCGCTTTGCTGTTTTGGTGTTTTAGTGCGGCTAGTGAATGGTGAATGGTGAATGGTGAATGTTGAATGCGAGCAATTATCCATGTATTTCCTACCGTATAAAATGTACAACTACAACAAAACAAGCAATAAATGCGAAACAACAGCAACAACAGATATTAACAACAAACAACAAGTACTAAGAAAAAATTACAATAAATACAGAGAATAACAACAGCAACAGCAACAACAAACGCATACACATTTATAGCACCGATACGAACCGATTGTGAAGATCATAAAATTTTATAATCTCACAAGCGTTGATGATGTGGGATCAACAGAAGAAATGCTATATAACCATAATCTCATTGTTGTTATTGTTATTGTTGTTGTTGTTATTGTTGTTGTTATTGTTATTGTCCATATACTACATGCTGTTGCTTGTTGTATGCTGCTAGCTAGCTATGACTAGCTGTTGTTTAAACTTTATCGGTTGTAGTTGTGCTTACTGTCGGCCAAGTTCAGCGATTTGGCGCATAAACCTGCCAACACACTTGACTTGGCCTGACTCTACGACTCTTGACTCTACGTCGCCATCGTCGTCGTCTACGATATGGACACTGGCAAGCGCTCAATAACTTTGCGCGGCTGAATGACTGCGCCATACGGAGGACTTGGACACTTGGTTGCTTGGCTTTGTGGCGTGAACAGTGAACAGTGAAGAGAGGAATAAAAAAAGTGCAGAAGAAACATGACAAACTTGATAAAATGCAAAAAAAGAAAGAAAAAAAGTGGAGAAAAGAAATAAAACCAAAGGATATGTGTAGTCTTCGTGTGGAGGCATGCAAAACCCAATATCCTCCGCTTGCTCATTTCCTTTTTGTTGTTGGTTTCATGCGGCGAGTTAATTTTTGCATTTTAATATCGGGCTTACCATGTACCGATGTGCCATTACTAATTCATAACAGCCAGTCAGTCCGCCAGTCCGTCAGCCAGTCAGTCTGTTAGTGAAGAGCCGCGGCGATTAAGAGCAACTGTCCGCGCAGAACGACCATTTGGCCGAACGCTAGATGTCTGCCTGATCGAAGAGCACCACAATGGAGTTCCACCGTCGGTTTTTGGTATGATTTGCTTGTACTTGTGTGTCTTTCACGCTCCATTGCGTTGCACACTCGTTAAATTGCGAACATTTGCAAATGCATTACATACATACCAGTACATACATAGGTACTTTTCTAGGCTTAAGTCTTTTATTTATTTTTCTATACCATTGGCTTAGCTCTTAATTGCATTATTTTCTTCTTTTTGTCTACGCCGCAGGTTTGGTTCCAGAACAAACGTTCCAAGGAGCGACGCATGAAGCAAATCACCAGCATGGGTCGACCACCGTTCTTTGGTGGCGCGCGTAAAATGCGCGGCTTTCCGATGAATCTCTCACCTGGTGGTCTTGATGATGGTCCTGGTTTCCCGTATTTTGCCGCTGATGGGAAATTTGAATTTGGCTATGGTGGTCCACCGTTTCATCCGCATGATGGTCCGTTCTTTCCAGGACATCCGGGTGGGCCAATGCCATTTAATACACCAGGTAGGTTTTGTAAGTAAAAATTTGTTTTTCAATATATATACATACATATAATTAAGGAAATATATTTACACTACTACATGCTTATACATATATAATGCCTTAGCTATTAGAAACTCAAGCCTACAGCGGTCTGTTATTTATTTTACTTCTCTTCAAGTTCAAGTGCTTGTTCTCGCTATGCATACCTCAGCTGTGTGTCTTTTGAGCTATTTTGGGATAGATAAGCGCAAGTCTGAAGTCTCTTTAAATCCCCTTTGTCCTTCTTTCTTTTCTCTCTCTCTCTTTTCTCTCTCTCTATCTTTCGCTCTCTCTCTTCTCTCTCTCTCTTGCTCGCTCTCTCTCTCTTCTATCTCTCTCTATGTCTCTTTCTTCTCTCTCTCTTTATCTTCTCTCTTTCTCTCTCTCTCTCTTTTAACTCGCAAAACTGTTTTCTTTTTAACATTTCGCGAGTGGTAATCATTAGGATCCTCAGTGTTATCACAATGGGTTGCTTGGGGTCTAGGTGAGCTGATGCCCGGCAGCCACTTCAACCAACCAACAAGTTGTGGATTGCACTTGAAGAGTCAAGTGTCTTAAATTGGGTTGAGTTGATGCGGCTGCTGGTCAAACCCCAGCACACTAAGGCTTTAGATTTATGATACCGCTGAGGCTCCTGCCTTCACCTTCTCAAATAATCGAACTATTTTGTGTGCCTTCTAAAACCGATAAGATTTCCAATGTTCACTGAGGCCAACTCAGTCAGTCGAAGAAGTGTTTCACAAGAAACTTGTGTCATGCGGACGTCAAGGCTGGACAGTGGCATAAGTAGTGCTCGATAGTCTCCTCCTCTTCTTCTTCCCTACAGCTGCGGCAGAAATCATTAGAGTAAAAGCCCATTCTAATCCCGTGAAGAGCCATTAAACAGTGTACAGTTATTATACCCGTCGCTATGCTGATGGAAAACCGCTCCAGTAGGATAAGGTGTTTAGATTTTTTTTGCGTCCAACTTCGGTCATACCTATCTGGTCACGTTACACGTAATCTCGTTCAACCATCTTGAGTCAGCTTCCCTGGTGGAGGCCAATTTAAACAAGTACTTAGCCGTGGACAGCATCATTTGCGTGTTTTATCGTAGATAGAAGTGACTTATGTTACTCAAAACCCGCCCTTGCACCTCTCATGAGATGCTTTGCTACGAAAATGATTTGTCTTAATGACTCCTTAGGCTTCCGAGAACAGCTTCCGGAAGAGCTTTCATAACTCCAGTTTTAGCTATAAGCGTGACGAGAAATAGGTTCTGGGCCAAGAAAATGTGTATTTTCTGATCGCCGCAGAGTAAAAAGGGTTGGTTAAGTGGCACCAAGTGATTCCTTAACTTCAAATACTACACTATCAAACTAAGCTATTATCATATGATAATACCCTCGGTTTGAGGCGAAACTAGTTTTACTAGCCAGCTCCTGTAGAGCGTCTTTTCTAAAATTTCGTAGAAAGAATTTTTCTGCTTTTCATGAGGACAACAGAAATTTTGGGCTTAATGAAAAGGAACGACTAGGTGTTTGATATTGCTACTGGAAATAAAGGGATCCAACATCCGAGCACATAACGGATCTAATTGACTTTGTGGTCACTTTGTGGTGTTGAGCCGCCCCTGACGGATGATGGTACGTCTCCGAAATAAACACCATCGAAGGAATTAAGATCTCTAGATTTTTAGTTTTTCGTCCGGCATGGTTTCGAACTCACGACCCTTCTCACTTGGCTACAAAGCTCAGTTCATCTATAAATTAATTTGATAAAAAAAAGGGAGAGAACCCTTCTCTTTCTTAAATTGAGCCACTCCTAACAACCCAGATATGCATATACATATATTTCAGTATAGGGAAACTCAATTTTAAATCCAAAGGTCTCTAGGAGATTCGAAGCATTTCAAAAAGCGCACACAAGCCACCCTCTCTACAAGTAGTTTTCTAAATAAATCTACTTTTACCTACCGAGTTTCATGTTTTTCCCACTGCTTCTATCTTCCTCAGGCGGTCCCATGGATCACACCGGTCCCATACCGATGGTAAATGAATTTGGTCTCACACCCGAATCGCAATTCCTGAGTCAAGCCGGTGGACCACCAATGAGTATACAATCCGCTGGAGGACCACCACCGCCTGAACATTTACTGGCTGCGGCGCAACAGCAAGCACAGCAAGTGGCGCAACAACAACAGCAACAACAAGTAGTGCAACAACAACAACAACAGCAGCAACAACAGCAACAACCAAATGGCCCGCGCTCAGCATCACCGGAATTCCTAACAGCGGCGAGTTTCAGTGAACCATCGAATATGCAAAACGAGGGACTGGTTTGGTAATATACGAAACAATTGGCCAATCGGCTGCTGCTGCTCAAAACGTTAAGTGCGCAACAACAACAACAACAACAGCACCAACAACAACAACAACATCAAATGCAACTACAATTGCAAGCACCGCCTACGCCTACATCGCTACTGCCGCCACCGCCACTACAACCACCACCACCACCGCCGCCGCCGCCAACAACAATACCAAGTGGTGCAGCGAGCTCTGCCTCAGTCGAAGCTGAAACAATGGCTGCGCTCTTGTTAACACATGAACAGCAAACACAACAAGCAAGCGATCAGCAACACCAACAACAAGCGCAGCAAGAACAACAACTGCAATTGAAGCAAGAACTGCTGCCGCCGCCGGAACAATTGGAGCTGTTGGAGCAATGGTGATGCTGTGCTGTGGGCAATTAAAGGCGTTCGGGCGTTAGAGTATGGTCAATGTGACGGCCAAAGCAGAAACACATTGCATACATACACGTATATGTGCGCAATGCAGCAGCGCGTGGAGTGGCAGCCGAGGAGGGTCAAAATAAATTTCATTTATTTTCTGTAAACAAAAAAATACAAAAATTAACGCTCCAAAAACTATATATATAAAACAACAAGAACACAAGCAGCTTACACGACACACACACACACACACACACACACACACACACACCAACACTTAAGCATTTAAGCTAAGCCTATTTGTATTTTGTGTATAAAATAAAAACAAGAATTTTCGATAAATTTGTGGCACTTAAATGAAATGAAAAACAAAATAACTAAAAAGAAATGAAAAACAAAAAGAAATGAAAATCTTGAGCAGAAATAAAGCAAAATTAGTAAATAATGTAAAAAAAAAATTCAGTGGAAAAATCTAATTTGAATGTGTAAAAAAAGGAGAGAAAAAAAATTTTGCTAAACTGTACCACAAAATAAGAAAAGGATACAAAAAATGAGCAGCATTTAGCTTTGTTTCTTCACCTACAATTTGTGCGTGTATTTTTTAACTAATTTTAAGTTTTGTTTTTATTGTTTCTATTATTATTTCTACTCAAAAAAAAAAAAAACAAAAAGAAAAAATGTTGTCAAACAACGCACCAAACTAAAAGAATAAACTTACCTCCCCCCCCCCCTACGTTTTTCAATCTCTATATGAATGTTTGTATGTCTGTATGTATGTATGTATGTATGTAAATCTGCGCAAAATTTCCCCTGCACTCCCTACACTATGTAACTATTTTTCTTTCTTTACCCACTCCCGCCTCCCTTCGGTTGTGTTAACCATTGTTTCTCTCCCTCTCACTAATTGTGAGCTGTATAATTTATTGCTAATAGTGAAACCTTTGTAATAATAAAATTATATAAAAATATAAATACATAAATATAAAAATAAAAATAAATATACAAGAAATGCTGATATTAATATATAGAATGCAATGAGAAAGAAGAAGAGTAAAGAAATTCAAACAAAAAAAAACAAAAAAACTAGTGAAAAAAGCAAAGCACACTAAGAGATAAACGAGAAAAGCAAAAAATTATTATAATAAAAGAAATCTATTGTAAAATGTATAAAGAATTTAGTGTTAGCTTAATGTGTAAGTAATTATAAAGAAATATATATATATATATATATTACACAAATATATATATGAATAAATATACATAAATGAATATGATATTATGTTTATCAGCAAAACTATTATGGAAATAATATGAAAGTCGTGTATGATAGCAAAAGAGACGTAATGAATGAATCAAGCAAAAAAGAAAAACATAAAATTCAAATAAACAAATTGTTAACTAAAATGTGAATAAAAGTGTTGTTTTCATTTTACCGAAAATTGGCTGATAATGCGACATAACAAGCGAAAAGTCAGGACTGATACAAGTAGAGGTACTCTTTTCAAAAGCCCCGTTTTGACAGTTCACGCGTGAGTCGAACATGAACGAAGCCTAAAAATCGTTCAATTCCATTACAAAAATTCACATTCTGTAAAGAGTGCGTTTCTCACGTTACCCTCAATAAATGTTCAACATAATTTGCCTACCGAGCGTACTTTTCGCTACACCGTTTTGCCATCTTGAAATCCAGAATTCATTATTGGATAACAGTCAACTGAGTAGACCACGCCCGCACGCAGTGAAGATAATATTGTATATTGGTCGCAGCTGAAAGTGTTCTCGAAGACCGTGGAGTGTCGATTCGGCACCGCAACTCAGACTGACATAAGAACGACTTGGCGCAATTTACGTTGAGATCTTAAATTGAAAGCGTACAAGATACAGTTTGTGCAAGAACTAGAACCTCTCCCAAGCGACATTGCTTCGCTCTATGAGCTCTTCAAAAGTTCCAATAAAATTTGACGTTTCTGAGCCAAATTTTGTGCAGCGATGAAGCCCATTTCTTGCTCAATGGGTATGTAAACAAGCCAAATTGCCGAATTTGGGTCGAAGGGCCACATGAAGAGATTCGAGAGCTGCCATTTCATTTAGAAAAAAGAACGGTTTCATGTGATTTGTGGGCCGGTTTTGGCGGTTCATATTTCTTCAAAAATTATCACGGTGAGAACGTAACCGTCAATGGCGACCGTTAACACGACAAGATAACCGAATATTTGATGCCTCAAATTGAAACTCGTGATCTCGCCAACATTGGGTTTCAACAAGGCGACTCCACTGCCCACCCATCGTAATAATCAATTGATTTATTGAGAGAGTACTTCGGTGAGCAGATCTTTAGACTTTTACCTGTGGAGATATATTGGTTTGCCCAAAATGTAATTGCGGATTTTTTAAAAGAAAGTAAATGCATTTTTAATAAAACTTAGAATGAACTTTAANGTACTTGGCGATAGTAGACTTGATTTACGGTTTGCCCCGGTGGAAGAAATTCTTTATGGACGATACCACGGCTATCAAAAAAGGTAATAATTATCGTTTGTACCTTCGACGTGGCGAGCACTATGAACACACGTTTACTCAACACGACACAACAGGCGAACTAAACAAGCTACAGGGATGGCAAATATATCAGGAGAAGAATACCGGAAGCAGGGAAGCGAAATTACAAGATCGCAGGGTTACCACAATCGCTGCAATCAATCAGTTTCATTACTTAATTTTCACACCTCGTAGTTCACGACCTTAGTGATCTTGTAACGAGAAAGATCAGTAAAAAAAAAAGAGCCTAGACTAATGGGTCCACACCTCAGGGGGGTTTTGGACCATTTCTCCCAAAGCCCGAGCTATATCCGAACGAGTTCTAGCTGTTCTGAAAACTCAAAAGACCATGCCGAAGATAACATTTCGCGTCGCTTGAAGGGAATTGGAGGAAATGAAGTCTTTTCGAAACTTAAACAATTTCCCGTTTATTGTTCTAAGACTATTTCATCGCGTTTCATTCAATGATTCCATTTTTAAACCGTTAAACAACATCTATATATAAACAGATTTCACCTTTTTTTAAATACATGAATAACAGTCGTGGTCGTGTCTCAGGCTCCAGTTCTAAGCTTTGAAGTATTGCGTGTGAGACAAAAGACCAAAACTCCAAAGCAACACCCATTAAATGCCAAACCTGTGCGAACGCACGTAAACTCTATGACAACAATCCACACCCACACGCATACACGTCGCATTCAGACTTTGCCACAGTTCCAGTTCACGGTCGGTGCACGTTTGACGCACCCGTAACAACAGCATGCAACATGCAACGCATATCGGGAAACACTTTCAAATGGCGTTCGCATGTCCGTCCAAAGGCCGCAATGTCAATGTTACCACATGGTGCCCGGTACCACATCTTGCATATGCCTACATTCAGATGGATGTCAGGCTTGGTGCGACACCATTGCATGTTGCAAGTACGTCCACTGCTGCAGCGTTGCAAGTACAATATGTGCGGCTTGAGCCTTTCACCTCACAAATAACAAAAGCGAAAATGTAGCATGTCCTTGCATACCGTTATCAAATGCACTCAATGTTTGCTGCCTGTCAATGCCACCGAACACACGGCCCAGCAAATAGCAAAACACCCAGGCATTCAACGTCCATCCATCCATCTGTCCGTTTGTCCGTTTCACAGCCTCTTTGTGCACTCCGGCTGAGGTTTGGTCAACAAGCGAACGAAATAACGGAACTGGCGCAAACTGGAAGCAAACATTGAATTTGGCTATCAAAGTGGAGTCAAACGCTCACATCCTTGTATGTCTCGTATTGTATGTAGTATGTGTCTCATTCGGACATTCGGGGCTGTGAGCTGTGCGGGTCCTGTGTGCCCTGGGTGCGAGTGCTGTTCACATTCATGTTCAAACTTTCATCAATGCTGTTATTTGTTGTTGTCACTCATGTTTATATGCTTGTCTATTGCTGTTGGAATATTTGTTGTTCGTTGTCGTTGTTGTTGTTGATGGCCGCTTTGCTGTTTTACCGTTTTTGAGGGTCTTGCGTTAGCTCGTTGTGGGTCGTCACATTCCATTGTTTCGAGTGCCCATAATTCGTGTTGTTGAACACGCACTCGAACAACAATCACACACATGTCTACACACACACTCACACATTTAGCCAACTACACACATCAACAACCTCAATGCGCATCCCTTCAACCCCTATCAGCAGTCGCTCTTCACAATTACTGATTTTCCACCGACTGGACAGTGGGTTTGTTTCGATGGTTTGCAAAAAAAGACTGATGAGAGGAGTTTTCTCAGCTAACCGTAGTTACGGATGAGTCCAATTTTCTACGACTCGTTCGAGCATTTCGACTGGTAAGTGGCGAATGAGAGGCGTTATATTTTGCTCCAAGACTTGTGTGGAAACGAAGCGTTTGGGAAGTGGGGCCCGTCTTGATGAAACCAAATGTCGCCGAGATCACGAGCTTCAAATAGTCGTTTATCATGCCGCGTTAACGGTCGCCATTGACGGTTACTTTCTCACCGTGATGATTTTTGAAGAATATGAACCGCCAAAATCGGCCCAAAAATCACACTAAACCGTTCTTTTTTCTAGATGAAATGGCAGCTCTCGAATCTCTTCAGGTTGCCCTTCGACCCACATTCGGCAATTTTGCTTGTTTATATACCCATTGAGCTGAAAAAAATTTGACTCGAAAACGTCGGATCTTCTTGGAACTTTTCAAGAGCGCATAGAGCGAAGCGATTTCGATTAGGAGAGGTTCTAGTTCTTGCACAAACTGTTTTTTATACGCTTTGAATTTGATATCTGGGCGTAAAATGCGTCAAGTTGTCCCATACGTCAGTCTCAGTTGCTTCT